CATCGCGTTTAACAGATTGCATATTAGTTAAAGACTTCAACCATTTTAACAGTCGTGGAATTAACTTCGATGTTCGTTCAAATCCACTTCATAACAATATATTTGTTAATGGCGGTGAGCGATGGAGAATTATGAGACAAAAGATGAGTCCTGGGTTTACTTTTAATAAGCTGAAGTATATGATAGATCAAATAAAAGAGTGTATCGATTGTTTGAAGTTGAACATAGATAAAATAGTAAAAGAAGAGTCTGGCGAAATAGAAATCAGAGATATGATGTCCAAATATTCAACAGACGTTATTGGTAGTTGTGCTTTTGGTCTTAAATTAGACGCCATCAATGATCCTGATTCGGAATTCCGAAAATACGGTAAAGCTGTTGTTACCCCTTCTATTAGAAATCAGATTATTTCAGCGATTTTACTTACCCAACCGTTATTATTACGACTTTTGCCAAAAAACAATCGTCGACAAGAAACAATTTCATTCTTCAAAAATGCCTTCCAACAAACTATACAATATAGAGAGAAAAATGGAATAGATCGTAAAGACTTTGTAGAGCAATTGATGAAAGCTAGAGAGGATTTAGTTCTCAATCCAGAATCAAAAAATACTGGTAAATTAATTTTTTATATTTTACAAATAAATTTGTTCTACTGCAATAATAATAAAATGATGTATAAATGTGAAAGGCAAAAAACAAAATTAAATATCACATCTGGCCGTATTTCATAATTCTATATAACTTGTACATAAATGATAAAATTTACTCATTATTCGCACAAATCATCAAACAATAAAAAAGTTTGCTAAAATTATGATTTTTAGCGTTTTATTTTAGTTTAATTCATTTTATTAATCTCAATTCATGAAATAATGAAATAATTTTAAATGTAAAAAAAAAAAAAATGTAACCCACTATTATTGGAGGTCAAAACTTATAATTTTGTTTAATATAAAATGTGATTTTTCTAGATAGGCCCTTATTGTACTGATAGTTTGAATAATGAGTAAATTATATTACTTAGGTACAGGTTACACGTTTTGTGCTATTTAATTTTCAAAAAAATCTAACCATTCTCTGTATATAGAAGACTTCAAGATAAGTTTTTTTATTTGTAGTATATATATTAAAAAATATTTTTAAAGAATGCAGTATTTTCATAATATTTTCAAATATTTGCACTTTTTATGTTTCAAGTTTGGAACCCCTCGTAATATAAGGAGAAATGGTTAGATTTTTTAAATTTTATTTTTTAGCTATT